GGGTGCTCGTGGCCTAGAGGTTAAGATGTTGGCCTCTCATTCAAAGGTTCCGGGTAGTGCTACTCTTTGGCTCCTCCTTACTGCTGTCTTTCTGCCACACCCCTGATTTTCTGGTAGGAAAGATCTACACCTAGCCTTCTCGGACAAGGGCGAAAAATCTCGGAGGTCCTGTGTGCAAGTTGCGCAGGTTAAAGATCCGTTGGTGGTCTAAAATCGATAAGAGTAGGCTTCGGCCGCCATCCGGGCAAAATTCAAAATTTCCTACCAACTGAAAATAATAGGTGTGCCCCGCGCGTTTATATGACTTAATGCAGTTGCGAGCGCCGTAAAACACTTACACACACACACACACACACACACACACACACACACACACACACACAAAATGAAATTTGGAAATGATACCGTCTGTCGCAACGCCACCTGTTGGGTGGCACAAGGCCAATTAGGCCTGTTATAGACTCCATTATAATTGTGCGAGGAGGAGTTCTCGTAAGGGAAGCAATTCGTAATACTCATGTGGTCTGTACTACAATAGCAAATTGCTTCCCTTGCTTGGCGCTTTGTGTCGACTGCAATGCCCCCTTCCTTACTCATACATAAATACAATAAATGTACTTTCCTCTCTCTCATTAAACCCACAACACGCCATGCTGTTCAACTGTCTCACTCATGTTGTATCCAATGGGTGGAAAGTCTTTGTGTCTGCAGACGTTTATATGATGGGTTTAAATTAAAGAGTTTGTATTATTCGGCAACGGTTGGTTTATAATTTATGTAATCGGAGGACAGAGTTGGCATCAAACGATGATTAATTTTTTTTTTCAATGGGGTGGCCGATGTTAACGTTTGTCGCACAATCTATTCCCCGCTGTGTGTTTTTAGTAGATATTTGTTCATCAGGTAAGGCGGATACAGCAAGCCTGATTTTTTAAAAATATTTGGTGGAATTATTTGAACTATTGTACATGTATACACGAATTGATGGAAAATACGTCGAATATAAACTGATTAAAAGAGGAGTGAGGCAAGGATGCCTTATGTCACCAGAGCTCTTTAATATATACATGTACAGTGAAACAATCTTTAGAAGTATAGAAAAATTAGTATTCAGGTCTGGAAGCGAATGGCGAAAATATTAATAACATCAAATGTGCCGATGACACAGTTTTAATAGCAGATTCAGAAAAGGACCCTCAATAGCGTCTAGAAGCTGTTGTAACAAAAACTGGACGTAAAGAATTAATGTTCAACTTGAATAAAAGAGAATGCATAGCGATCTAACAACAGCAGTAAATCCTATTTGTAATCTTTTATGAAAAGGTGAAAAGATCAAACGAGTTCAATAGTTTAAATATCCATAATTAATTACATCTGATGCCAAATGTTTCTCAGAAATGAATTGAAAATTTGCAACGACTAAAGACAGCTTCAATAAAAATGAACCCAATCTTGAACATTAAAAAAAAGGTCTTAATGACTACCAAAATGAAAGTTTTGAAAGGCTATGTGTAGTCAACCCTTCCATAAGACTGAATGCAGGACAATCAGTAAGTGCAAAGAAATCACAGAGGCAGTACCTGAAGAAGCTCACGTGGGCTTCTCGCTGATATAAACAACCAGGAACAGACAAAATAACCGATGCTGTTTTTGAGACACTTGGATAGACATAAGGGCCTTGAAGATCAGCTCTCACTGGCAAATTTGAAGGCAAACGAGGCAGGGTAGACCGAGAGAAATCTACTAGGAGAGCCTAAACAGATGGGTGACGGGAAAAGATGAGGATAGTGCTGGGTTTGTTTTTTTTGCAAATTATCTGAGCAAAGGAATTAATGGAGAACCAGAGTAGTCGATGTCCATCGCTGAGCTGGCACTTGAGAATGATATGTATACGGGACACCCCCCACCCCCTTTTCCCTGCCCCCGTGTTGTGTTATATGGCACTGACTGTATGTTGTGTGTGACTTTGTTATGTGTTATATTGCCTTGGTTGTGTATTGTATGTGTGTCTGTGTTGTGCTTATGTTTATGGCTATGTCTTTATTGTAGATGTGTGTGAATGAGTGTGTGTGTGTGTGTGTGTGTGTGTGTGTGTGTGTGTGTGTGTGTGTGTGTGTGTGTGTGAGAGTGAGTTATGTTCTGTGTACATGACTTGTAAATTTTTGTGTCTTTGGTGTGTGTTACGTGCTCATGGCATTGTAGTCTGTGTGTGTGTGTGTGTGTCTGTGTGTGTGTGTGTCTGTGTGCGCGCGCACGTGCGCGTGTGTCCGCACGTGTGTTCCCGTGTGCGTGTGTGCTGTATGATATGTACCCTCGACAACGCATTTTGTTTGTGTCTACTCAGCAGAAGGCCAAGGAGAAAAGCATTCCAGCCCATGACCTTCTCCAGAGGGGCAGGACAAGTGTGCCACATGGTACGTATGTTGTGCTTGTCTGCCTCATACTTACCTCTTTTTCAGTGTTGAACCGACGTCTGTGGTGTAGCGGTTAGGCACCTCTCTGTGGCATGCAGAATACTCAAGTTTGATTCCTGAGTGAGAATTACATTTTTATCTGCTATATCGGTCTGTTCTGCTGGGATGTTGTATCCCACTCAGCCTTGGTTGGCACTGGCAGGCAGAGTTGGAAGCCCGCCTCCTAAATGATCTAAATTGTGCCAGTGGGGGCGTAAAAACACCTAATTTAAAAAAACGAAAAAAAAACCAACAGCGAAGATGCTGTGCCCTTGAAAAAGACACTTTCGCCTGTTCGTCTCTGTTCACCCAGCCGTAACAGAGCACTTGGAAGTTTTTTACAACCGGTTGTCAAACGGCGCCTCATGTGATTTCCTCTCCTACCTTTTTCTTTTCCTTGTGTTGTTTCAATCTCCATAATATATTCCCTTTTTTATTTACCTTTGTACTAAATGGCCGTTTTCGTGTTGATGTGGTTTTTTAAAATACAAACAGGAAGTCCCAACAGGCTGCAAAGCTAAGCTGTAACAACTAAACAACCCCCCCCCCCCAATCCCCAAAGATCTGAGATGACGCATATACAGTAACATTCCTGACTAGTGATTTTTGTTACTGAGTTATATTACATTCCATTGGAGGGGTACTTGACTATAGATGAGCACTTCGAGATTGCTACATCATCCATTGGGGTTGTCTTCTTTATTTAATTAGGTGGAGATTGGCTGCTGTATAGATATGTTTCTATTTACACACACATACACTTTACAAATACACACACACACACACACACACACACATAAACACACACATACACGCGCGCACGCGCGCAAAAAGACCCACACAAGTAGGATGGGTGGTTTTCAGGTGCTCTAATGTGGTTTGCTTCTTCTTCCCTGTGGAGCATGTATCTTATCTCTCCTTTTTCTTTTCTTTATTTATTATTATAGTAATACCCCTAATCTTTTGCGTTCATATGACCTATTTATGTTTCAAGTGCCGTAAAGTTTTTACATAAACTGGAACTAAAAAGAATTTAAAAACTAGGTGGAGATTTCGTAGCTAATGCCAATGTTCCCCTGTCCAGATGCCGGCAAGCCGAAGACACTGGCCCCTGTGTTGTCCAACAACGGTCCTGTCCACCTCAGCTCCCCAGCCACCACTGCCACAGTGGTGGTCAGTCCTATGTCCAGCGCCATCTCTGGCCTGCCGCGCCTGGTGTTCCGCCCGCCCCCCACCAGCGTGCAGTCTCGGGGCTGTTCCCCCATCATCTTTGAGGACGCCCCTACGTCGCCCTCGCCCTCTTCGTCGTCTGCAAACACCTCCTCCTCCTCACGAAAACGAAAGCTGTGTACGATCGGCGTCCAGACGTGCGACTCGCTCCTCCCCGTCATCAAGGCCGACACGAGCCTCCCCTCCCCACACAAACGCCTCCTCCTACACAAGGGCTCACAGACTCTACAGTCCCCCGGCGACATCTCCGCCCTCAACCCGCTGTCTGTCCAGTGCCCTGACATTGACGCGGCTGACCCCTTGAACGACAGACTGGAGGTCAAGGTCAGCGCGGACAAGTCGTCGTCGTACAACCCCTTCACGGACCCTCAGATCCTGCAGGCGGCGGACGGCCTTGAACTTCTAAGCACGCTGGCGGAGAAGAGGCCCAAGTGCTCGTCGCTGGACGATCCCAAGCGTATCTTCCCTTCCCCCAGCGACTCTTTCAAGTCGGACTCGGCCAGTGTTGTAGCCATGGAGGACACGCTCTCCCCGAGCGAGACGGAGCTCAAGAGTGGTCAGTGCACGCCCCGTCGGGACCCGCGTCGTGACCTTTCACCCAAATGGACGCTGCCAAAGAAAGAGGTGACCTCTCTGCCATTTGCAGACTTCAAGACCCCTCCAGGTAAGACTGGAGCTGTTGTCTTTGACCAGGTTATTTTGGTCATATTATGTTTGTCTTTTGGTTGTTGTTTTTTTGTGTCTTGATTGCTTTTGTTACATTTTGTTTTGGTTGGGGTTTTTTATGGGTTTTTTAAGGGGGGGGTG